GGAGCGGGGCTGCTGCGCGCTGCAGCTGGTGCTGCTCCGTGCTGTGCCTGCTCCCTGGTGTGCAACTAGGGATGCAGCCGGTGATGTGGTCGGTGATGCAGCCAGAGGTGTTCCCAGGGATGCACCCAGCGATGCACCTGGCAATGCACCCAGTGATGCACCCAGCGATGCACCTGGTGACGCAGCCAGCGGTGTTCCCAGTGATGCACCCAGCGATGCACCCGGCAATGCACCTGGTGATGCACCCAGCGATGCATCTGGTGATGCAGCCAGTGGTGTTCCCAGTGACACACTCAGTAATGCACGCAGCAATGCACCCAGTGATGCACCCAGCAATGCACCCGGTGATGCACCCAGTGATGCAGCTAGAGATGCACTCAGCAACGCATCCAGCAATGCACCTGGTGTTGCATCCAGAGATGCACCTAGCGATGCATTAAGCGATGCAGCCAACTATGCACCCGGTGATGCAACCAGCAATGCACCTGGTGTTGCATCCAGAGATGCCCCTAGCGATGCATTAAGCGATGCAGCCAACTATGCACCCGGTGATGCACCCAGTGATGCCCTCAGCAACGCATCCAGCAATGCCCCTGGTGTTGCATCCAGAGATGCCCCTAGCGATGCATTAAGCGATGCAGCCAACTATGCACCCGGTGATGCACCCAGTGATGCCCTCAGCAACGCATCCAGCAATGCCCCTGGTGTTGCATCCAGAGATGCCCCTAGCGATGCATTAAGCGATGCAGCCAACTATGCACCCGGTGATGCAACCAGCAACGCACCTGGTAATGCACTCAGCGATGCACCCAGAGATGCATGCAGTGATGCACTCAGCAATGCACTCAGTGATGCACCCAGAGATGCTCCCAGAGATGCATGCAGTGATGCACCCTGCACCCAGCCCTTTCCCGAGCCTGGAATGCACCTTGGCACACACAGCAGTGCCCCAGCAACGCACCCTGCACCCAGCCCCGCTCCCTGCACCGTGTCCTGCACTCTGCTCCCAGCCCTATTCCCTGCTCCCAGCCCTATTCCCTGCTCCCAGCTCTCTATCCAGACCTTTTCCCAGCCCTGCATCTTGCATCCAGCCCTGCTCCTAGCTCCCAGCTCTGCTCCCATTTCCTAGACTTGTTCCCTGCTTCCACGCACGTTCTGTGCTCCCAATCTTGATCCATTCTCACAGTTCTCCATACAGACCTCGTCTCTGCTCCCAACTCTGTTCCGTTCTCCCAGATCTCCATGCAGACCTCCTCCCAGTCCTGTACTGTATTCCCAGCCTTGTACCCTGCTCCCAGCCCTCCATCCAGACCTGTTCCCTGTTCCCAGCCCTACTCCAAGCTCCCAGTCCTTCTCCTAGCCCCATTCCCTGTTCCCAGCCTTATTCCTTGCTCCCAGCCCTTCATCCAGACCTATTCCCTGTTCCCAGCCCTACTTCCAACTCCCAACGCTGCTCCTAGCCTCATTCATTGCTTCCGGCCCTCCATCCAGAACTGTTCCCTGTTCCCAGCCCTACTCCAAGCTCCCAGTCATTCTCCTAGCCTCATTCCCTGTTCCCAGCCCTCCATCCAGACCTGTTCCCTGTTCCCAGCCCTACTCCAAGCTCCCAGTCATTCTCCTAGCCTCATTCCCTGTTCCCAGCCCTCCATCCAGACCTGTTCCCTGTTCCCAGCCCTGCTCCCAGTCCCATTCCCGGCTCCCAGCCTCATTCCCTGCTCCCAGCCCTCTATCCAGCCCCATTCCCGGCTCCAAGCCGGCACAGGCTGGCTCACCCCGGCC